AAAAGCAAAACTCCGACCTTGTGTTTGGTTTAAAATAGTGGTTTTATTGGCTATTTCTTGGTATCATTTGACAGAATGGAAGACATACTACTGAAATATAGATGAATTTGGTTAGTTTTATGATTGGACATAAATATTAATATTAAATTTTTGTTAATTTTCCTGACAGGTAAGGCCCCGCCTACACCCCTAATCTGTTTCGTGAATTTTTAACTGTTTGATAGTCCGTCCCATAGTTCTATGGCTTTGAAGCCAGGGTCCAAGCTGTAGTACTATTTCATGAGCTCAGCTCACCCAGATAAGCTGTGAGTGGTAAATTTGGGCCTAGATATGAGAGAATGCATCTATGTGGTAAGTGTGAACCATATAAAACAAATCCTGCAGCATGCAGTGCATGAGAAAAAAAACCTGACCGCATTTTTGGATTAAAACAGTGACTTTGCGGTGTATTTTTGTATGTTTTTTATGGTTGTATTTGCAGTTTCATGGTCACATTTGATAGAATAGAGGACAAATAACAGAAATAAAGATGATTTTGATTGATTTTAGTAGTGAAAATAGCTTGAAATTGAGCTCAAAGAGCAGAAATGTTCAGTTTTTGAGATGTTCATGAGTAAACAAATCACGTACCCAATACACATCAGCTGGTAGGTCTGATGTGCGTTCATGAATGTGCTGATATTATTTATAGTTATTACAATTTTGCATAACAGTAAATCTTGTTTTTTATGAAAAAACATTATATGAATAAAAAATCAAAATGGGTAAAGACTAGAGACGTAACTGATAAACAGAGGATATGTTATATTAGTACCAGGAATGCCTGCATTGTTTATTCTGGACCCTGTTTTGAAATTTGAATATTTTGAACTTTGTGTGAAATTGGCCAAATTACCAGTTTCTGATCACTTTATTAGGTAGTTGAAATAGTTGATTGGGTGATTTTTTATGCTCAGTAGATAAAATGGAACACATACTAGTGAAATAGCTAAGAATTTGATCTAATGGAACAATGTAATTGGTCGAAAATAGATCTCAAAGTGGGCGAAAATCATTGATGTGTAAATATCACTGACACTGCAAAATTCACAAGAGCGTAATTTTGTCAATTTTTGATCAATTTTTGCACTTTTTGTTTTATTGCCTTCTGAAAAAGATTCTCTACGTTTTCATTTTCATATTTTTTTTTTTTTTTTTGCCCTGTGGGGAATTTTCAGATTGGGGGTCTGGATCCCTCAAAGGGTTAATAGGTTTGATTCAATTATTGGGATACTGTAAACCATACAATACAATGCAATTTTTATTTCCTTGCAAGTTTACATTGAGATTCTGTAATTACAATAATGAGTTGCAGTGCAAAGAGAGTCATTATCATGCCATGGCATTATGGCCAGACTAAATTTAATGGCTTACAGACTACTTAATACTAGAGAAATTGATCATAGTTTAAGTTGTACATCTGTTTTTATTTATTGAAGAGAATAAGTTTACTCAAATTACAATCTGGGGATATTACACTGGGACAAGTTGAAAGTATTTTGTAGGTTGTATATAATGGTAGTGACTTTGTGTCCACCATCTGTGATATTGGTTTTATGTCACCTTTGCACCATTTATAACATTTCTGGTATATTTTTAAATGTTTATACAGTAGTGTACTGTTTATTGAAATACAGTAGACCGTCATTTAACACAGTTATGTTGCTGACAATACCGTGTTAGGTAAAAACCGTGTTAGGTGAACTGAAGAACTTATGGGAAAAATAGGGTTACGTTCCTGAGAGCCCCAAAAAAGCCAAACAACTTCTTTTTAGGGCTCCACATCTTACAAAAATAAAAGTGAGTATGTAATTGTAGTTCATTGTTATGATGTATTATGTTGTTTTTACTGCATAGGGCTACAAATGTAACAGAAATAACAATATTTCTTACCTTAAATTGTGGGTGGTGGTGTTTGTGGATGATTGTGAAGAGAGTGGAGAGTTATACTGTGGTCCTACTGGGCTGAGGTGGATGGTAGAGGTTCTGGTACTGAAGTTGATGGTTGTACTGGAGTGTCTAACTTGAAGTCATTCAGTAAGTCAGTCATTCAGTAAGTCAGTCATTCAGTAAGTCAGTCATTCAGTAAGTCAGTCATTTAGTCAGTCATTCACTCAAACTTACGTTTACCTCTTTATGTGTACAATGTAACACTTCATTATGGCAACAGGATGCCTTGTCTAATATCTTTGTTTCCTTCGTTAATTCTAAGACTTAATTAAACGCTTACACCTTTTCTTGCCACTTTGAGCAACGCTGGTATGCCTACTGGGTGTCATGATTGCTTGGCAGATACAAGATATAGCAATTAACCCTTTGACTGTTTCAGGCCCCCTCTCTGAAACTCATTCTATGTCGCCAAATATTCGAAAAAAAAATTTATTTTTTCTTATGAAAATGTTAGATTATTTTTCTGAGTGTTTTAGTCCAAAAAAAAAAATTTTTGCCATCAGTACTTACCGAGATATAGAGTTGTGAAGTTTGCAGAAAATGAGCCGCGTATGGCAACAGTGGCGACTGCCGCTCACCAGGTAAACTTTAGTTTACTTGTATTTGAAGGTTTGTTGTTTTTTTCACTATTTTATTTTTTCACATAACTTATGTGGCCTATGAGACCAAAGTAAGGTGCGATGTACATATATACACTCGTTGTATACAACACAATAAGCACACAAACATAATTATCAATATATTGTTTACAAAACTTGTTTACAAAAACAAACAATACAAAAAATTGTTTATTACTATTGTTCTATAATATATATACCAATGTATAGCCACCGAACATATTCCTAGAAGTTCTGCAGCTTGTGGAACTCTTTGAAACATGGTGTCATACACAATGGTGGTTTACACTCTCACACATAAAACCAGTGTGTGTGCATTTTTGTGGACTTTTTTTTTTTATGTGCAAAGACAAAACACCTTCTCTGAGCAGTTTTCTGCAAAGTATTAGCAGGCAGTTGTGTTATGTAGTTATCCTAGGTAAATGGTCGTGTGTCATCATTCCTTCCATCCTACTTTCCTGATGACACAGTCTTGTGGCTCTCTGAGACAGAGAGCTAGATGGACAGACAGGGACCTTGACAGACAGACAAATAGACAGACAGAAACATTTGTGTACCAGCAAAAACAAAGGGAGGGCGATGGTCATCTAATATTTCCTTATCAGCTCCACCCTCGTTTATGCTCATCAAAGGTCAGCTCTTATCAGATGTTATCTCCCCTTGTCACTGTCATGGGGTGGACTTTTTTTTTTCTTGCTTCAAGGGAACAATATTATTACATCTTCTTCTTCCTCCTCCTCCTCCTCCTCCTCCTCCTCCTCTTCCTCCTCCTCTTCCTCCTCCTCCTGCTCTTCTCCTCTTCCTCCTCCTCCTGCTCTTCTCCTCTTCCTCCTCCTCTTCCTCTTCCTCCTCTTCTCCTTTTCCAATTCCTCCTCCTCCTCCTCCTCTTCTCCTCCTCCTCTTCTTCCTCCTCCTCCTCTTCCTCCTCCTCTTCTCCTCCTCCTCCTCTTCCTCTTCCTCCTCCTCCCCCTTTTCCTCCCCTCCTCCTCCTCCCCCTTTTCCTCCCCTCCTCCTCCTCCTCTTCCTCCCCTCCTCCTCTTCCTCCTCCTCCTCCTCCCCTCCTCCTCTTCCTCCTCCTCCTCCTCCTCTTCCTCCTCCTCTTCTCCTCCTCCTCCTCTTCTCCTCCTCCTCCTCTTCCTCTTCCTCCTCCTCCCCCTTTTCCTCCCCTCCTCCTCTTCCCTCCTCCTCCTCCTCCTCTTCCTCCCCTCCTCCTCCTCCTCCTCCTCCATTGCTTTTGGTCTCAAACTCTTCAAAATCATGAAATTGATCTTCACTGACACTTCCATCTGTGTTAGAGCATCACTTGGGAAGAGAAGAGTCCCAGATTTGCTGGGGAATCACATATTTCTTACCGCTAGACATGCTGAAAAAGGACGACTGAAAGGGTATTCCCACAATGCACCACTGGCTCCCCAATTTTTTTTATATGGTGCACACTGACCATGGAGACCCATTCTCTCACATGTGGGCCTACCAGCTTTCTCCTGCTTGATTTGAAGCTGCTAGAATTTATGCGTATAAATACGTCAGAAACAGTGGCGCATAAGACATATATATATGGCGTAAACAGTCAAAGGGTTAAAGATCAAAATAAAACTCACAATCACAAGCTTGTAGCAGAGAAGTTGGACTGGACACGTATGAAGTATGAATGCTAGGATGGTGGGGTGACTGGAGACGGCGGGAGGTCTCCCCCTCTGAACCACAACAAGGCGACTGCTTGAGGAAAAGGGAAGTTTTTTTCCTTCCCGCAAACCGAACCTTGTTAAATTCATCATGCAACGTGTTACATAAAATTGTGCAGCAATTCTTCAGTCGTGCTATACCCAAATTGTGCCAAGTAAACTCTTGCTAAATGACAGTCTACTGTAAATGGAATAGAGGAAATCAGCTCTAATATACATTATTTAGGTATAAATACTGGTCAGAGAGCCTCTCATAAATCCGAGGCGTCAGTAAATGAGTACGTCGCTAAGTGAGGAGAGGCTGTATCTGTTTACATGTGAACCAAAGAGTGATGTCTTACGTTTGGCAGTAAGACAGTGGTAACCTTTATTTTATTTATTTATTTTATGTCTTTGCAAACAGTACATTGAGATTTTGTAGTCTTAGGTGTAGTCTATGGTTGTGGTTGGCAGAAAACTGTAAACTTATTTGCTTAGGTATTTTTCTGTACTGCATGTCAGTGTGTCTAAACAATAACTGATCCATCATGGAAAATGTGCTTCTGTGTATGCTTAAAAGTTTGTCACTGATCTCACTGTATATGCTGAATATTATCCTTGTTTCACTTTTTCATATTCTGAAGAGACAAATATAATTTAAAGTAAATTGAATAAATAAAAGCTTATAGCATTTTCAGTGTAGTAATATTTTAATTTGTTTTTCTTCCAGAAATTGCTTATTTGGAGCTCTTGGAGACCAGCTGGATGGTGTTCCAACATTTCACCAGAAACATAGACAAGATGTAGTGGCTTATATGAGACAACATAGAAATGATTTTGAACCTTTTGTTGAAGATGATGTTCCCTTTGATAGACATTGTGAGTAATATCTATTTAAGATATACAGTTCAGTAGGGCTCCACTTATATGGCAGGTTAGGTTCCAATCTACTGCCAAAAAGCAAACATCGCTGGAAAGCAGAACACCGTTTTTTCCACTTATAAATGCATATAAATGCCAGATAACAAGTATACACTAGCATAAGTTAAGTTAGCAATAGAACTAGGCATTAACCCTTAAACTGTCGAAACGTATATCTACGTTTATGTGCGTAGCGCTCCAGACGTAGTTCTAAGTTTTATTTTACATATTTTCATTACATTCTCATGTAATTTTTAGAAGGAATGATGCTCTGACAAATTATTTTTATTATAAGTTGTTGTTGTTATTACAAGTTATTATAATCATAAGAAAAAGAAGCACTAAACCCACAAGGGTCATGAATAGCTATAGATAGAATGAAGGCATATGAAAGGAATAAATTTCTGGTTAAGTAACTGGTGTTTGACTAGAGAAAACTTAATTCTTCGACTCCTACCAAGCGCTTGGTAAACAAATCTCATATTTATGTCACTTTTTATACTGTGGGTGTATGTATCATGTTTATATGTTATGTAGTGTCTTTATTATATAATTTTGAAAAAAGTATCATAGATGGATTATTGGCAAGAAAAGGCACAATACCGTGACTGGAACGATACACATATAACTTACACATAGAAGAGAGGAGCTTACGACGACGTTTTGGTCCGACTTGGACCATTTACAAAGTCATACTTTGTAAATGGTCCAAGTCAGACCGAAACGTCGTCGTAAGCTCCTCTCTTCTATGTGCGGGTTATTTGTGTATGGATTAATGGAAATGTCTGTATTAACGTAATACACCTGCCAACCGACTTACGACCTGCTCGACTTACGACCACTTGACTTACGACCATGTTTTTTATGCAAAATTTCTGGGAAATAAACAACTATTTGTGTTGTACACAGTGTTTATCCTAAACCTTACAGTATAAAGTACAGTGCTAACAGCATAAAAAGTAAAGTAAAACATGAAATACCAAAATAAAACAATAAAATAAAGTCATTACAAAAATGTGATGTTGATATTCAGTAGTAAAGTTCAACTTACGTCCATTTTGACTTATGACCAGTTTCTCAGAACCGAACTCAGTCGTAAGTCGGATGGTAGGTGTATACAATTAATGCTCCCAAGAGATTATATCGCGTTGAGTAGAGTGACTCTTAGTTATTTTAATGTGTACCTGCATGCCAGCACAGTGGGTAAGTATATTTAGGTACAGGTACACGTAAGTATAATTATCAGATTACATATAAAATGTGCAGTAACTTAAAAACACTTGAAATTTTGGAAAATTTCTAGACATAACAGAGTTGTGCTCACTGAGAATGTAAACAAACCAGGTGGGGCACACCATATTTGAAAGACCGCTTGCCGTATAGCAAATTTTGATCATTATTTGAAATTGCCATATTAGCGGAATGCCATAAGGCGAAACGCCTTATAGCAGGGCCCTACTGTATGTTTTCTGAAGTACAAAAGTACCAGCCATGCATTTTAATTTTTGGCTATATGAAAATATAGTGGACTCCCACTTAAGAGCTCTGCAGAAAAAACCTAGAACCATTTTCCACTTACCAACCATGTCTCACTCTTACATAGACCAGATTTCTAGGCTGCCAACTATCCCCAGGCTGCTTCACTCATACAATGACCAGATATTGTTTATAAGTACAGGCAGACCCTGCTTTACAGCACTTTGTTTTATGGTGTTTTGCTAATGCAGTGGTTTTTCAATTTTGCCCATTCTTCATTTATTTGGACTTCTACAACAAATATATTCACTACTCACTATAAGCTAAGGGCAAAAATATTTTAAGGTAAGTAATGTATGTGCTGTGTATGGATTTTTTTAGGCCTACTTCTGTTGCTTACTTAACCCTTTCAGGGTCCATGCTGTAGTTCTACGGCTTTGAAGCCAAGGTCCATGCTGTAGTTCTACGGCTTTGAAGCCAAGGTCCATGCTGTAGTTCTACAGCTTTGAAGCCAGGGTCCATGCTGTAGTTCTACAGCTTTGAAGCCAGGGTCCATGCTGTAGTTCTACAGCTTTGAAGCCAGGATCCATGCTGTAGTTCTACAGCTTTGAAGCCAGGGTCCATGCTGTAGTTCTACAGCTTTGAAGCCAGGGTCCATGCTGTAGTTCTACAGCTTTGAAGCCAGGGTCCATGCTGTAGTTCTACAGCTTGAAGCCAGGGTCCATGCTGTAGTTCTACAGCTTTGAAGCCAGGGTCCATGCTGTAGTTCTACAGCTTTGAAGCCAGGGTCCATGCTGTAGTTCTACAGCTTTGAAGCCAGGGTCCATGCTGTAGTTCTACAGCTTTGAAGCCAGGGTCCATGCTGTAGTTCTACAGCTTTGAAGCCAGGGTCCATGCTGTAGTTCTACAGCTTGAAGCCAGGGTCCATGCTGTAGTTCTACAGCTTGAAGCCAGGGTCTGTGACATAGTAGTACATGATGATCTCAGCTCACTCAGATAAGCTGTGAGCAGTGACTTTGGGACTAAATATGATAGAATGGGTCAAGAGGCCCTCTTCTAAACTTGTTCTCAGGGTCAAAAATTTTTCGGTAAAAAAAAAAAAAAATGAAATAATAGAGAATCTTTTCCCGGTCGTAATGACACCAGAAGTATGAAATTTGATGGAAAACTTACAGAATTATGCTCTCGCCGATGTTTACGCATCAGCAATTCCTCCCACTTTGAGCCCTATTTTTGGCCAATTCCTGTGTACTAGTTGACAAAAATCATATTTATTTCACTAGAACTCCATTTTTTCTATCGAATGAGTACAAGAAACCACCCATTTATCAATTTTAACTATTCTGTAAAGTGGTTAGAAATTGGTAATTCTGCCAATTTCACACAAATTTCAGAAGATGCCAATTTCCAAATAGGGTCCAGAATAAACAAGAAAGACATTCCTGGCACTAAAATAACAAGTTCTCTGTTCGTTAGTCATGTCCCCAGGCCCCTCTTATATTTCTTTTGCTTTCCACTTTGAATTTTTATTCTTACAAAAAATAGAAGATTTACTGTTATGCAGACTATTGCATTAGTGTAGAAATGGTATAAATAATATCAGCGCACTTCTGAAAGAATATTAGACTCACCAGTTGACGTGTATTGGACACTTGGCATGATTTGTTTACTTTCGAACTTTGGTAAAAATCGAACATTTCTGCTACTTTGAGCTCAATTTCAAGGTACTTTTCATTGTGAAACCAGTCAAAATCATCTCAATTTCTGTAATATGTCTTCCATTCTATAAAAGGAGACCAGGAAAACTAGAATACAACCATAAATACCATACGAAAATACTGTGCAAAGTTGCTGTTTTAATCCAAAAACATGGTCAAAGTTTTTTTTTCTCATTACGCACTGTGTGCTGCAGGATTTTTTTTATACTGCGCACACTGACCACATAGACCCATTCTTTCATATGTAGGCCTACCAGCTTTCTCTTGCTAGATTTGAAGGCGCTAGAATTTAGGCATACTAGTACATCAATAACCATGGTGCATAAGCCATACTAGTACAGTGGACCCCCGCATAACGATATTAATCCGTTCATGAGAGCTCATTGTTATGCGAAATTATCGTTATGCGAATGAATTTTCCCCATAAGAAATAATGGAAATCAAATTAATCCGTGCAAGACACCCAAAAGTATGAAAAAAAAAATTTTACCACATGAAATATACATTTTCCTACACACAAAGAGAAGGATACATGCACAATAGTAGAGTAGTACATGCACAATATATATTGTGCATGTACTACTCTACTAAATGAAGAATAAATGACACTTACCTTTATTGAAGATGCAGCAATGACTGATGAGACACTGTGTCCTGGGAGTGCCTTTTCCTCCTGAGTACTGTAGGTCCTGTTTGGCATTTTCTTCCAGAACAGGCCTTATCACACTGTGTATGTCACTACGATTCTTAAATCTCTCAAACCAACCTTTGCTGGCTTTAAATTCACCAATATGAGCACTAGTTCCAGGCATTTTTCCCTGTTCACCTGGGTGTTAGTCGACTGGTGTGAGTTGCATCCTGGGAGACAAGATTAAGGACCCCAATGGAAATAAGTTAGAGAGTCCTCGATGATGCACTGACTTTCTTGGGTTATCCTCGGTGGCTAACCCTCCGGGGTTAATTGTTTCTCGGTAATTGTTTCACGTTAAGCCACACCAACAACACTCTCTCCACATCTTTGAGTAATACAGCTGATGGTGGTGCAGCAACAACAACAGCTGTGGTGCAGCTGACCATGGTGCAGCAGCAGCTGGGTGCAGCAACAGCTGACCATGGTGCAGCTGCAGCTGTGGTGCAGCAGCAGCAGCTGTGGTGCAGCAGCAGCTGACTGTGGTACGATAGTATTTATCACCCTTTTTACCACAGGGTTGGCACTAGAAGCTTTCTTTGGGCCCATGGTGGCTTATTTAGCAGTTACAAGCACTATACATAATGGAATAATACAAAATGTATCAAATGTATGCATGCAACCAGCCACCCTGGCTTGTAAACAATGACGGCAAGGCAGGCGCTCAGGCTGGACCGACAGGTTCGGGACGAGTAATGTTCAGAAACAGCTGATGGTGCAACAGCAGCTGACCGTGGTGCAGCAGCAACTGACTGATCCAGCAACAGCTGACTTGTCCAACAACAGCTGACTGGTCCAGCAACAGCTGACTGATCCAGCAACAGCTGATTGGTCCAGCAACAGCTGACTGATCCAGCAACAGCTGACTGATCCAGCAACAGCGATTCTTAAATCTCTCAAACCAACCTTTGCTGGCTTTAAATTCACCAATATGAGCACTAGTTCCAGGCGTTTTTCCCAGTTCACCTGGGTGTTAGTCAACTGGTGTGGGTTGCATCCTGGGAGACAAGATTAAGGACCCCAATGGAAATAAGTTAGACAGTCTTCGATGACACACTTTTTTGGGTTATCCTGGG